ACGTGTATCTGTGTTCAGTCAACTGGAGTAAATTAGATTTCTCTGAAATTCACTGTTATTACACTAAAAGTTAGATATAAAACACAACCATCTGATTTTCCTTATGTCTACAGACTCATTTTCATTGGTGTTCACGTAATACTTTAGTCTCTCATTCTTGGCTGGATTCCAGTTGAACTTTAAAGAATGTTATGTTAGTCAGTCAGTGGTGTTTATTGAACAGTGTGATGAGCACTGTTGCCTGGCATGAAGAGGCAGTCCTATGGGCAGACCAAGTGGTTACCTGCTTTGCGTGATTTGAGTTGACTTTTTTTTTTTTGGACCAGGAATCAAACACATGAACTTGCGCTTGCCAGGCAGGCGCTTGTGCCGCTGAGCTATACCTCTGGCCCTGTTTGTGTGATTTGAAAGACAATAACTCTGCTATAAAAGTAATCTCTTTGCTAACACATATTAAGCCAGTAGCTGTCATCTTAAATTCTACCATTAAATATTCATTCTGATTTTTTTTAGTTTTTTTTTTTTTTTTTGTGACAGGGTCTTGCTATGCAGTTCCGGTTGGCCTTGAGCTCATTTTGTAGCCCAGGTTGGCCTTGAACTCCCAACCATCCTCCTGCTTCAGCCTCCTGAGTGCTGGGATTACAGGCGTGCACCACCATACCCAGTTTCTGATTTAACAAGTATCTTCATTTAAATGTGAGCTCTGGGTTGAAGCTGGTTGATAAGGCCTTAATTAACTCACATAACATAAGAATTTGTATAAAAAAAAAAAAAAGAATTCATATAAAAAACTGGGTGTGGTGGTGCATGCCTGTAATCCCAGAACTCAGGAAGCTGAGGCAAGAGGATCATTGTGAGTTTGAGACCAGCCTGGGCAACAAAGTGAGCTCAAGGCCAGCCTGAACTGTGTAGCGAGACCCTGTCTCAATTCATGGGTTTTCTTTATGGACTTGTTTTTCCAGTACTGGGACTTGAACTCATGACCTTATGCTTGCCAGGCAGGCACTGTGCCACTGAGCTACATTTCCAGCAAGACCCTGTCTGAAAAAGAAAAAAAAACCAAAAAAACAAAAAAAAACAAAGAATTCAAGAGGCCTATTACACTCAAAAAACAAACAGACAAAAAATAAACAACCCCCAAGATTTTATAATGATGTGACACACATACCCTTAAGTGAAAAAGCGGGATTCCAAATACTTTGTATAACATGGTTCCAGTTGTGTCAAATATTAAGGATCAAGGGAAAGCAGAATTAGACGGCATAATAGAAAACCCTGGGTGTGGCATCTGGAAAAAAATATATATGCATTGCTGTGCTAGATTATGAGGAAAGACACAGAAAGACGGAGTACAGAATGAGTGCAGCTGCATAGACACTCACTGCCCTAGCATTTGGTGACTCTTTCTGGTTCCTGTTGTTACTCTGTCTTAAATGAGAACTTGAATAAGCAGACCAGCAAGTGATAGTGGGCCAGTTTGGTGAACTCTGCATAAATTATAAGGAAACTGGGTAGGTGTGGCTGATGTTATATCAAAGAATATGAAAAGTCTCACAGGCATAACATTTAGTGAACAAAATCAAACACAGAAGAATGTGATGCTGTGCAATTTTATTTTTTTAGTGTTCAAAAGCAGGCAAAACATTTGTAGTGATAGAAGCCAAAATAGGGGGGACAACCAGAAGGAGAGTCCTGGGGAAGGACATGAGAGAGCCTTCTGCAGGGTGGGGCCTGTGCTATGTCTTCACCTTGGTGATGGCTAGATGGATAGATATACACACAATTGGAATGATGGATGCCTTCAAAGTTGGACACTATGTGGCACCTTCCCAACAACTTCTGCCCCTCTTCCTCATTCGGTCTAGTATGCTGGCAACCAGAACTTCGCCCTTCAGTGAGAAATGAGAGCTGTCTACTGACCTGGCCCAGCCATACCTGTTCTCTCTTGGGGCAAAACAAATCATCCCAAAATGTATTAGTTTAAAACATCAGCAATGCCATGCTTGTGTTGGTGGCTGTGCATGGGTAGGCGTTTCCTCTGTGCCACAGGCTGATTCTTGGTGTTTTGCCTATGGCTGTTCCAGATAGGCTCAGGCTGGAACCCTCGAGAAGACCTTGCTGTGGAAGAGGAGGGAGCTGTGACGGGGGCACCTCAGGTCACCATCCAGCCACCCAGCCACCGGGTCTGTCTCATGGGGTCTCTCCAGTAGAACGGCCAGACTTCCATACCTGAAAAGTGGCTGTCACGAGACTGGAAACAGAAGGAGCAAAACCTCTTCAGCTGAGGCACAGAGACATATACTGTAATTCCCAACCCATTTTACCTGTCCAAGTATGTTGCAAATGCAGCCATACTCAAGACTCTGCTCCTTGAGTGGAGACATACATAGTCACAGTGAAAGAGTGTGCACTTTGGATCCCAGTATAAGAAGAGGACAACAATATTGATATCATGGGTCCTCAAGGAAATAGCTCAGGCATATGTATAACAAAGCCCATGGTCAACACTCACATATTCAGAGCTTCCAAGCTTTTAAATAGCAGCATTCAGCCAAATCTCTGGATATCTGGGGAAAATTTCACACAGGAAAGGTGGAGACTTGAACAAGAGAAACCTGGAGGAAATAAATTATAAAGGAAAAAGAAAAAAAAAACACTCTTTTTGAGACAAGATCTCACTATGTAGGCTGGGCTGGCCACAAATTTGTGATGATCGTCCTGCTTCAGCCTCCCCTGTGCTGGGATTACAGGCATGTGCCACTACACCCAGCTAGAAGGAAATATTTTAAAACTGTCATTAATGTCTTAGAAGAGAGAGAAAAGCAGATAGGCATCCATGAGAAAAGAACAGGACATTCTAGAAGAAGGAACATTCAAACTGGACATGGTGTGCACATGTGTAATCCCAGCAGGCTGAGAAGCTCAGGCAGAAGAATTGCAAGTTCAAGATTTGCCTGGGTAATTCGGTGATTTAGGGGACTCTGTCTCAAATTTTCTTTTAAAAGGCTGAGAGTGTAACTGTGTGAAAGCTCTGGGTTCAGTTCCTGGTGTTGTCCCCCTGCCCCGCGCCCCCAAAATCAGTGAACCAATCAATGCCCTTAGAAACGAAAGGCAGCATAGGAGAAATGAAGATCTTACCAGGATGATTGGAAAGGAAGGCTGGACAAACGTAGAGCAAATAGACACAGAAATCAAGACTGATAGAGAAATTAGAGGACCAATCAAGATGGCCCACTTCCAGTTAATAGGAGTTCCAGAAAGAAAGAACAGAGAAGCCAGGTGTGGTGGCCCATGCCTGTAATCCTAGCACTCAGGAGGCTGAGGCAGGAGGATAACTGTGAGTTTAAGGCCGTCCTGAACTGCACAGTGAGACCTTGTCTCAAATGACCAAAATAATAATAATAATAATAAAGAAAAAGAAAAAAGAAAAGAGAATATGGGAAAGGACATTATGAAAGAAAAATGTCTCCAAACTGAAGGACTTGGGTTGTTGAGGGGAAAAAGCACATCAGATTCCAGCTCAGTGGACCAGAAAACCTACTCACAGTGCTGAAATGTCTTAAAACTGTAGGCATAATGAAGCTCCTACACTCTTCCAGAGAGAAGAAAATTGAAGTGAAAGTGAGTTAGAATTTATAATGACTTCAGACTTCCTAACAGCAGCATAGAATCTAAGAGACAATGTAGCAGTGCCTTGAAAACTTAGAGGGAAAATCATTTCCATAGAAGGGTTTTATTCCTAGCCCAACTGTCAAGGAAAAGTAAAGGTAAATGACATTTTCCTACATTCATCACCTCAAGATATTTGCCTGTGCTGGACTCAAAGTCTCTGTCTCATTGTGGAACACAAATCTGCAGTGTGCATTTCCTGACGGAGCTCTTCTTAGAGCACTTTCTACACTGTATTTTGAGTATTCCCAATGCTGAGCTGCATTTTTCATCATTTTGAAATCAGTAAATAATACATGTTCACATTAATGCATTAAGGCACAACTAATTGCACAGTATAGGATGATTATAAGATGTGGGCAGACTTGCAGAGTCTGGCAGAATTTAGAGCCAACAAAGTTATTCCAAAATGTACAAAGGAGGAAAAGGTTCTGATGGAAGTAAAAAGCAGGGAAGCGTGGGTGGAGACAGGACAGTCACAAGGAGTAAGCAACACGGGAATATATAATTGGAGTGACGGCTGGACTCACCTGGGGAATATGGAAAACTAGATTCCTGGGATCCATATTCTAAAGCTTAGCATCTGTTGTGTAGGTTGGGTCCCCCAGATTTGTATTTGTCCAAGGTACCACCAATGCGTCAGTCTTGCATGGAAATCTGTCCTACATTCAGGTAGAAATGCAGCATTTAGAACAAACTGCTTCTCCACTCACTGGGAATTTTACAGGAGATGGAACCACCCTGGATGAATCATCCCCGTGGAGGACATGTAAGATTTTATTTTGCACACTTGTGTTGAGAGAGTCCTTTGCCCAGACATTTTTTGATGGCTTTAGTACATATAGGAAGAGACATTTTCCTTGGACACATTTCATTGTTTTTTAATTTATTTTTATTTATTTTGTTGTTTTTGAGACAGGGTGTGGCTAAGTAGCTCAGGCTAGCCTTGAACTCACTATGTAGCCCAGGCTAGCCTTCAATTTAGGTGATCCTCCTGCCTCAGCCTCCCTCTCCAAGGGATTACAGGTCTGCCACAAAGCCCGGCTCACTCATTACAGTTTAAAAATATTTATCACGACATATGTGTAACTGGCTTAGTTTAAAATATGTTCTTATTGGGCCGGGTGGACCCAAGAAGCAAGGTCACCCCCGGGGAGCTGTCCGAGGTTCTGAATGTGACGCCAGACTCCAGCCTTTGACCTTCCCGGCCAGAAAAGGCTTTCCGAGCCTTTTTCCCTCTCTTGAGGGACACCAGGTTCTTTCCTTCCCAATGCCTCCCCCACCGAGGGCGGGGCTTAATATTTTTGTCCCGGGGTGCAGAGGATCTTGGGTCCTGCCTTCGCTCAGCCCCCGGTGGGCTGGTCCGCGACCCCGGCCTGCCCCACCCCCACGAGCGCGCGCCGCGCCCATCCCTCCGCCCCCGCTCCTCCCTCTCCGGGTCCCGCCCAGCGCGCTGGCGGCCCGGGTCCCCGGAGCTGGGAGCCGAGTGGGGGCGAGGAAGGCGACACGGCAAGCGGCTTGGCGGCGTGCGGGGCGCGGCGGGCATGGACGCCGAGTACCCTGCCTTCGAGCCCCCGCTCTGCAGCGAGCTCAAGCGCCTGTGCCGCCGGCTGCAGGAGGCGTACCGCGAGCTGAGGGAGGACCTCGCGCCGAGCAGAGATGACCGCTACTACAGGTGGGCGCGACCCCGCCGCGCCCCGCCGGGCCGCGGCCTCCGCTGCGGCGCGCGCTTTCAGGGGTCGAGGGCCGTTTCCGCGCCCGGAGACCCGAGCAGATAGGATCGCCCCGGGAGAAGGGGATCTGCGGGCTCGGGCCCCGCCTGGCTCCTCCCTCTCCCCCGCGTCCTCCGCGGTTCTCCCTCCCGCCCACGCCGCGGCTGCTCGGGCCCTGCCCATCCTGGCTCTGGGGAGACACTTTCCCACCCCCACCGCTAGCGCCCGGGAGCGAGGGCGCCGAGCCTCGGTTCTGGGAGGCCCAGGCCCCGGGCTCTGGTGGGAACCTCCAGTCTGGGCGCTGCCGGGGGCGGGGGCACGGGCACGTGGCTTCGCGAGAGAGTGGCACCGCGGTGAAGACGCGCGGGGAGGCCGCGGGGAGACCATAGGGACGCCGGACGAGCTGTGGGTTTGGGCTTGGATCTGTGGCCTTTAGATCCCTGACCTGTGGTCAGGCAGGCGAGAGCTTCAAGGCCTGCAGCTGGCAGGCACTCGCCCCTGCCTCTTCGCACTGTCCTGTTCTGGCGGGGCAGTGTGGCCACTGCCGATGGCTGCTCAGTGCCCCAGTGCATCCGCGTGTAAGGAATGGGCTCTGTCAGGACTGCAGAGGCAAGGAGCCTAGATTGCTTTTTACCAACTAGCCCTGTGACCTGAGTGATACCTTGCCCAGGGCCTGAAGCTCCCTCATCTGTGAAATGAGAAGCTTGAACTAGGTTTCTCAAAGTGGGGGACTCGAGTATCAACCTCCTTACACCGCAGTCAGCAGTGGCCTGTGATCCCAGGATTCTGGGAGGCCTAGGCAGGAGAATCTCAAATGCAAGCCCAGCCTAGGTAATTTAGCAATTTAGCAAGACCCCGTTTAAAGGAGAGAGGGGCAGGCAAGTGCTGGCTGTCACCCATTTTTGTGTCACCCATCGGGTGCTGATAACTATACACTTGCACTCAGAAGAAAATGTATCACATTTATCATTAACTCTTTTCAAAAGCATAATGACTTCCTAGGGGATTAATCAGCAGTGCATCACAGCCATGGTCATGATTACTGAGTGAAAAAGCTCATTTAAAAAAAAAAAAGTAAAGCCCATATCACATCCTGTGGGTGAGCCCCACAATCTCTCATGCAGCCTCCTGAGAGACCTGACAAGTAAATGAGCCCACGGATAGTTTCAGACTATATTTTTGAAATAAGATTACTTACAATATTTCCTACTAGTTTCCTTATACCTCCCTCTATAACATTTCTTTGGCAAAAAAGCTAGTGAATAGGGAAGTGGTGTCAGTGTAGGTAGCAGAGAAAAAGCCACACCTCTGGTTAATCTGTGACTGGATCATCCTTTTATTTATTTCTCACTCTGCTAAACTAACTATAGAATATCTTCTGTGTTTCTGTTGTTGCCCTAGGTATGGGGGATGGGCTACAAGTGTGAGCAATTCACAAAGGGTCCCTTCTGTCATGGGGGCTGCAGATTGCCCCCATGGACAAGCGATTGCATGTTCTGATGAGTACTGGCAAGATAAACTGGGAGACATGATGGTGGCAGGTGCTGCTTCACAACAGGTGATCAGGAAAGGCTCTTAGGGTGACATTTGTCTGTGAACTGAAGAATGAGGAGCTCACTAGACAACGAGCTGGGGAGGAAAGTTCCCGGAAAGGAACAAGTGCAGAGTCTCTGAGGCCACCAAAATATTGGTCTGTTCAAATAACAGACAAAAGATGAGGAAGTCTGGAGTGTAATAGTCAGGCAGCTAGATAGGCAGGACCAGGTCAGTAGGGCTCGGAAGGCCAGACCAGCGAATGCAGGTTTCATGAGAATTGCCATGGGAAGTCGCTAGAGGTTTTTAAGTTGGCTAAGTGACCCGAGCATTTTGGCTGCCTGTCCTACAGCAAGCCTGAGAATCTTTGGTCTGGAGCAATCTCATTTCAGTTAGATCCTGAAGATTAATCCACCCTTGTTGGAAAGGGCAGATTCTGCCCCTTTTCTTGAGAACAAGTGGACTGCAGGTGCTTTCTAATATTTTACTTTACGGACAAAGCAGTTTGGCTGAATCACAGAGACTTCGAGGGTGAGGAAGTGTTTTAGGTCACAGAACCACACCCCCCAGTGCTTCATTGGTCCTTCCTCTCAGTGGGTTGTTCCTTACACACTCTGGGAAGTGCTCTGGGGCCTCTGGGCCAGCCAACTGATCATGACAGTTCCTGTGCGAGGCAACCCTGCTACTATAGTGTTAGCTCCTGCTCTTCTCACCACCTTGGTTTCCTCATCCCTGGAGGACCAGGGACTCACCTCACGTGGTTGACAGTTTCCTCATAACAGGATGAAGTAATGAACACAGCTGCTAATAACCGATATGCACACAGCTGGCAGAGCTTTGTGCATGTCGGTTATGTAATCTGCCATAGCTGCAGCTTTTCAGCTGCAGGGTCATTTCCACAAAATGAGACAGGACAGCTGTGCTCCCTGCCAGGAAAGTGAAGGTGGGAAAGGAGTAGGCTCGGAGCTGAAATCCTGGGGTCTCTATCTCAGCTCAATCCTTCATGAACTCCTTGGCTTTGGGAGGAGCCACTGAATTTCACCACATGGTCAATTTCCACACCAGACAAATGAAACCTGTACCGCTGCCCTTCACAGGTATGCTGTGAGCCTCAAGTGCTCTGTGACGATAACGCTAAAGATGCTTTCAGCTCCAGATAATAAAAAACCAAAGCAAACCAGTCTGGACAGTCAAGTTCAGTGGTGTCTCAGTTCATGAACTTAATCCTTTTCGTGATTCTCAACGCAATCCAACTTGAACAAGAACCGAATCAAATGCAGTCGTTAGGTTCAATGTTGACCTTATGGGGAAATTAGATTCGATCCGCATCTAATTTGGTTTGCGACCAGAATGGTGGAAATAATTAAGTTCGTGAAGCAAGGCACCACTGTAATGGATTAAGTTGTCAATCCAGCAGTATAATGATGTAACCAAGTTCTTTCAGTTTTTAATTTGATAGCGATTGTCTACAACAACAACCATTAGATTCTTGCTTCTCATTCACATTTAGGGTGAGAATGGGTTGGGTTTTTTATGACTTTCTCTAAAGGAAAATAACCTGAAGTCTACAACAAAATTCCTGAATCTCCACTACACTCCCCTAGAATGGTAACAATGAAGAAGAGTGGTGTGTTGAAAAGGACAGGGAACTTTCTTATGCTGCAGAGGGGATGTAAATTTGTATAATTCCTGTAGGAAGCTGTTTGGCAGTATTTACTAAAGTCGAACAAACACATTCCCTTTGGTTCAGCATTTCCTCTCAGCTGAGTACCTTACAGAAATGCATACAGATGTCCATCAAAAGACATGCACGAAAATGTTTATAACCTTATAAACTGTAATACTCCTAAGCTGGAAACTAGCCAAATACTCATCAGCAATAGAATGGATATATTTGGCTTATTCCACAATTGACTATTATAGCAATAAAGTAAAAAACTCACAGCTACACATAGCAATCAAGAAGAATCTCACAGCTGGGTGTGGTGGTGCATGCCTGTAATCCAAGCACTTGGGAGGCTGAGGCAGGAGGATTGCTGTGAGTTTGAAGCCAGCCTGCGTTACATAAACGAGTTCAAGGCTGTGCACTGTATATCAAGACCCTGTCTCAATAAAACAAAATGGGGAGGGAGAAAAAGAGGGGGAAAAACCCAAAAGATTCATACAAAATGTTGAGCAAAAGAAGCCAAAGAGTATGTACAGTTAGATTCTCTTCCTATAAAAATAATGAAGCAGGCAGAATGACTCCACACTGTTACAGGTCAGGACATGATTACCCTGGAGGGACAGGACTGGGAACGGCAGAAGGTGCTGGTAAGGTTCTGCTTCTGGGGCTGGGTGCTGGTCATACAGCTGTATGTAGCTGGTGAACATGTAACCAGCTGGATGCAGGATGTGTGTGTACTTCTGTGTTTGTGTACTGCACTCCAGTAGAAAGTTTAAAACCAACTCATGCTTTGTGATGGAAATGTGGCCGCTTGCCTTCTCTTGGGCACATACTGGCAAGAGGATGGAAGTAGACTGAGGCACAGCAGAGCACCCCAGGAGCTAGAGGTGGAATGTGTGCGGAGCAGGCAGCCAGCCAGCCCCTGGCTTAAACAGTAAAGGGTTAAAGGACACTAGAGGTGATGGCCATGTTCCTTCAGAGCTCTGTCCTCAGAAATCTGCGCCTCACCATTCTACTAATGTGCGTATTCTCTTATCTTCTTCTGAAAAACATGGGAGTAATGAAGTGGGGCTTGAGTTTTCTTGGCCAGAGAAAACTCTAATTGTTGAGTTTTCTTATGCCCGGGCACAAATCCACCCACGAGGTTTGTAGAAGCAACATTTCTTCCCTTTGGGAAGCTCGCTGGGCCTGGGGCTGGCTCTCCATCTTGCTAGCAGCAGCACACAGAAAGGAGAAGCTGTTTCAGCAGAGGCTTCTCAGTGACCAGGCTCTGGAGGAATGTCCAGAGTTCTGGCTCCTCTATGGGCTGATGTAGATCCACGTGAAGACTGAATGGTGGGCAGGGGATTTGTTAATCAAGGCCTGGTGTGGCTGCTACACATCAGAAGCACCTGGGAGGCGGTCGTGGACAGCGACCTGGGCTCTGTCCTCATGGATTCTTCTTCAGTTGACCTGGACTGGACTTTGGCCAGGATGGGGAAGGCCTAAGGGAGAGTGGGGTGGCAGGCTGAAGGGAGCCTGCGCCCACCTCCCTAGACGACTCACCAGCAGGGCGGAGTATTGGCGGACACAAGCCTTGGCTCCTGACTCAAGCTTGGTGGCCACTGTCAACAGTGACCTTGGCTGTTCTGCCCTTTGCACATTTCCAGGCTGGCCAGCCTCCTTCTTTGGATTAATACATCTGGTCAGGTGACAGTCAAGTTTAAGGTCAGCGAACAGTGTTTCTATTTAAGGCAGCCCCAAGTCTCTCCACTCTGCCTGACT